GTCTAACAAACTTCGTTAGCTGTGTCTGGGGTTCAGGATGCCTGAACCTTACCACTTATCCCCTTCCCTGCAGGGTACTGGCTCGTAGAGGGCACAGACCAAGGGTGAACTGATTTATTCAGAGCTCCCTGGAAGTCCTAAATTGAGAATTTTGTAAAGCATTTTGTCTCTCACCCCAAATTTAAGACAACTGAACCCTAAGGGTATTCATTATTGGCAACTAGAACCAACTTCCGGGAGACAGAAACGTGGGTCCCACTGTGTCAGGCACTGGCAGGCAAAATGGCCTCAGGACTGGGCCATGTATAAGCACATTAACTTGACATAGAGAACAGAGGCCTGATTAAGGTCAGGCTGCTTAGAAATTCTTCCCTTGCAGCCTTTTGAGGAAGCCACCTAGGTGCCAACTGTATTAACTCCACAGCTCCCCCTAGTGGGATGGCTGTAGTGCAGCCATCACTACTATTTCTTTTGTTCTTTAATCCTGTGAGTTTATCAGACAAATTTATGGGCAACCAGAAGAGGCTGCCCCTTTGAAGGAAAACAGCAGAAGAGGGTAGGTCCTGCTGCTACCTCCCTGAGGCCTCTCTGTGATATTCACCACTGCTTTTGTGGGTCAGGGTGGGCAGTTTGGCCTTTGCATTTAGAAGACTCTGGGCCGGGTGTGGTAGCTCATGATTGTAATCCCAGCACTTTGGGAGGCTGAGGCGGGCGGATCACCTGAGGTCGGGAGTTCGAGACTAGCCTGGCTAACATGATGAAACCCTGATTCTACTAAAAATACAAAAAATTAGCCAGGTGTGGTGGTGTGTGCCTGTAACCCCAGATACTCGGGAGACTGAGGCAGGAGAATCACTTGAATCCAGGAGGCGGAGGTTGCAGTGAGCTGAGATTGCGCCACTGCACTCCAACTTGGGCAACAAGAGCAAAACTCCATCTCAAAAAAAAAAAAAAAAAAGACTCTGAAATGTGTTAGACTCTCATGAGGGCCACATAGCACTTGAGGCTGAAACTTCATTTTTTTTTTTTTTTTTTTTGAGATGGCGTCTCGCTCTGTCACCCAAGCTGGAGTGCCAGGTGCCATCTTGGCTCACTGCAACCTCCATCTCCTGGGCTTAAGCGATCCTCCTGCCTCAGCCTCCCGAGTAGCTGGGACTACAGGCGCATACCACCATGCCCAGCTAATTTTTGTATTTTTAGTAGATACATGGTTTCACCATGTTGGCCAGGCTGGTCTCGAACTCCTGACCTCAGGTGAGGTCTCCCAATTCAGCCTCCCAAAGTGCTGGGATTACAGGTGTGAGCCACCGTGTCCGGCTTCAGTTTGTATCCTATTTTTCATATCAGATTGAGCCTAGCACCTTGTCCTGTCTGTATCAGCAGAGTTTGCACAAGGAGCACCTCATGACAACATAAACCTACCCCCCCAACACATTTTCAGCTGCATAGTAATGCTCGCAAATTGAATATGAATTCCCTCCAATTATTCAATTCTTAGAGAAATAAAAATCTATAAATAAAATCTGGCTGGGTATAGTGGCTCACGTCTGTAATTCCAGCACTATGGGAGGCTGAGGCGGGTGGATTGTTTGAGCTCAGGAGTTTGAGACCAGCCTAGGAAACATAGTGAAACCCTGTCTCTATAAACAATACAAAAATTAGCTGGGTGTGGTGGCACACACCTGTGGTCCCAGCTACTTGGGAGGCTGAGGTGGGAGGATCTCTTGAGCCTGGGAGGTTGAGGCTGCAGTGAGCTGAGATTGCGCCACTGCACTTCAGCCTGGGCAACAGAGCAAGATCGCCTCAGATACAGAAATAAAGAATAAATAAAATCCACCTCTCCTTGTAAAATAAACTAATATGTAAAGGCATGAAGTCCCCAATTTTTTCTATCCTACATCTTTTCTGCTGAATCTCAGCCAGAGTGTCCTGCTGAATGGAGAGTGTGTTCTAGCTGTTGAAACCAAGGAATCTTGTTTTGTAATAGATGCTACTCCTTTGGTGTACAGGGGAGTGGCAAATGCTGAGGTTTTGAAGCAGGCACATCCTTGGCATATTCTAGGAATGTCATGGAAACCAGTATGGCTGGAGCAGAGAGCTGGGGACAGTAGTGAGAGATGAGGTCTAAACTCTAGCATGAGTATAATAAATGAGAGGCCCTTGGTGTTAAGTTCAGAAAGAAGCCTGTTGTTATCTTCTCCTTTGCCTCCCTAAATTACTAGTAGTAAGTAGAATGTAGCATGCCGTAGTTCACCCTCTGTAGGTTACCAAGCAGTTTGGAGTTTACCACGTGTCAATTTAAACGTAGATTGGGAAATGTCTTCTTATCAGGGTAGTTGGATTCATTTTGTACTCTCCTTGAAAATTTTAGACATTTGCAGTGGTGGCTCTGGGTCTTTCTTGATGCCCGTTCCAGGGATTTAGAACCTTTCCATTTTCATTGCTCCCTTGAGCCCTATTTCTACCGAAGCTTCACCATTGCTGAAGATCTTTATCTGTTTAGTGAAAAAGCCTCCCTTCTTTCTGGGCAGGACACCCCATATTTATCTTAGGAAACTCTTCAAGTGAGATACATTGTCTTGCATGCTTCCTTTCCTGTCTCCATTTCTCACTCTTTCTCTGAATTTCTATAAACCCAGAAAGATTCCCTAAATTGTTTTAGTTCTGGACTCCACAGGGTCCTATTATTGAATGTCTGCCTGTGAGTCCTACTTCCTGGTTAGGAGATTTTCCCTTTTGTCTCCCATGGGGAATTACCCTCAGCTGATCTGTGAGCTGCTGTTGGGTTTCCAGAACCTGAACTTTCACTGGTCTGATGAGGTCCAGGAAATCCCCTGGACTAGTGGCATTTCACCCAAGCCCTAGCTTCTTGGAATTGAATTTCCAAGACTTAAATGGTCGGTGCTTCTTTAATGGGAACTGAAACACTTCTTCTTGTTCCCGCTTCCTTTTCTGTATAAGAGATAAGCCTGCAATGTTCAAGGTCCCTCTGAGAACATTCTTACTTAGCAGGTCCTGCTCAGGTCTAAGCCTTTACCCTTCCATCTAAGTTGTTTCTGTTCCTTCTTTATTGCCAGGTAGGACTCATACCTTTTCTAGGTCTTAGTATTTTCCTTCTCTATATTTGCTTTTTGTTTTCAGACTTAGATTTTTGTTCTCCTCACATATTACTTTGGAATCTGCCTCTGAGGTCTCTGTAGAGAAAGAATGATGTCACAGAGCTCTGGACCTGCCGCAAACATCCAGTGTTAAAATACCTTCTTCCACCGGGCATGGTGGCTCACGCCTGTAATCCCAGCACTTTGGGAGCCCGAGGCGGGCAGATCACGAGGTCAGGAGATCGAGACTGTCTTGGCGAATGGTGAAACCCGGTCTCTACTAAAAATACAAAAAATTAGCTGGGCGTGGTGGTGGGCGCCTGTAGTCCCAGCTTCTAGGGAGGCTGAGGCAGGAGAATGGCGTGAACCCGGGAGGCGGAGCTTGCAGTGAGCCGAGATTGCGCCACTGCACTCCAGCCTGGATGACAGAGCAAGACTCCGTCTAAAAAAAAAAAAAAAAAAAAAACCTTCCCACTTTCATTTTCACTAGGAGGCATTTCTTTCTATCAGTTCAGCCTAAACCCCAGCCTGGGCTTGATCAATTGTCGTTCTCCCTGGACATTGTTTAATACAGCTCTATTTCTCAGGCAGATGTCCTTATAGCCGCTGCAATACCTGTTGCCTCATCTACAAAAACAATGCCACCTTGAAACTCACTTAGTGATGCTTGAAGAATTCTACACTGATCATTCTGTTTTTAAACATGTTCACATTTCTCTAGCTTTGGAGTATCACAGTTCCAGTTATTAAGGAAGAAACGAAGAGTTCTCATTAATGCCTATTCTCGTTCCCCTATTTAAAACTTTTCCTTGTCATATTTTTCTAACTGAGCCAATATGATTTCAAATTTTCTTCTTAGTGTTATTTCCTCCACTTGATTTCATTCTCCCTAATCTTATCCTTTCTCCCTAAATCTTATCCTATCTGTGAGAACAAAACCTGTTTTGGAAACTGATTTCATTCTTTTTTCAGAGATGGGGAAAATCTCATCTCTAGGAACAGAGTTCTAGGTATACACTTCTTGTTATTTCTTTTTAGCATTTGAGTTTGTAATAATTCCACTGGACTTTTTTTCTACTTTAACTCCCAAACAATTTCTTATCTAGAATCCCCAGTCTGAGTTTCTGTGAAACAGATCATCTAGGGCCATTTAAAAGACCTTGGTGTGGGAGTGAACTCAGCCTGTGGAGAAGCCATGGATCCAATCTTCCTGCGGGTCTCTCCTTAGCCCTGGATGAAATTCCAAACGATATAAAGAGAAACGGAATTTTGGCAAGCTAATCTAGTGTTGTCTACTAATATCTAGCTCCCCAAAATGCTCTTTAAAACCTCCCACTATTGCTCCCTCTGTGCATATTAAACTTTAGCAAATATAGCAATTACCTGGAGAGCTTATGAAAACACAGGTTCCTGGGCCACATCCCAGAGGTTCTGATTCAGTAGGCCTTTGGAGAGGGGAGCAAATTTTCATTTCTAGCAAGCTTTCAGGCCTTGCTGATATTGTCAGTCTACATTTTGAGTTGCCTTGCTCTAACCACATAAACCTTAGCTACTCCTGGGCAATATCAAAGCTCTTGCAGGCAGAGACATAATAAGAAAAGAAAGACTAAAAGAAAAAAGTGGAAGCTAAAATAATTCCATCTGCTCCTGCCTAAAAACCCAGTGTCTTAGAGCTTTGTCTGATTTGCAAAGTTTTCCTGGTAATCAGATATCTACCTACCTCATCTGTTCCTGAATTCCAGTTGCAGAGATTAGGAGCTCTCATCTTCCCTCATGGTGCCTTACTCCCCTGTGGCAGCTCTTATCTTTATACTCAAGACCCCAATGAGTATATCTGCCTTTTGCAGGGAGATACTGAATCTTATCTCTCCTTTCCATATGAGATTGCACAGGACAAACAGATAGATAAATGACAAATATCAACTTTATTGATCTGGGCAAGTTTCCAGGAACTCTCTCTCCAACACTGAATTTCAGGTAAAAGCTATATTGAAGGATGAGGTTTAGCTGTTGTGGCCAAGTAGAACTTCCTACTTACTTTCCCCATGGAAATATGGGCAGGTGGCTCTGGAAGGGAGCCTTGCCTGGCTTACCCACCCAGTCTCAGGCTGAAAAGCAGAGGAAAGGGTGGTGGCAGACACTGGTTACTTACCTCTTGAAGACCGGAGATACCCAGAGTCCCCCTTGTACCTGTGCACAGGCGGGTACCAGAGAGCAAGTCTGCATTTTGTTTGGGTGGCGACCTGTAATATATGAACTTATTACTTGGAAATGTGACTCAAGGAATGGCAGTCTCCTACCAGTTAGGTTACGTATATACTGTTCTTTCCTTGAGGATTAACATATGGGGAATAAGGAGAAGCCAAAATTGTCTTTTCCTTTATGGAACTGGAAAGACAGGTAAATAGCAACCTTTGATACACTCAAGCAAGGTCACTGATCTCTGTAATTATCTTGAACAGGAAAGGTCCATTATAGTTGTAGGAGTCTATGTTAGGAAAGCAATTTAAATTACTTTTAGGTTCCTTCAAATTCATTTGTTTTGAAGGAAAAATTTGTCCAAATTTCTTGGTTGATTTACCATCATTATTTTATTTATTGATCAAATTTCATGTTCTTATGGACATAGATACTTTATTCATGTACTAAGAGCATGACTTCTTTGGTTATTATTTATGTTGTCTTTCTTCTGTTTTATGGTTTCTTTCAATTTTGTTTATGATGTTTTTGACATATAAAAGTTTTAGATTGCCATACAGTCAAATCTATTGATCTTTTCCATTGTGATTCATTACATTGTTATTAAATGTAGAATTTTTTAAAACAAAAGAGTATTTATATTCTGTTTTATTTCTAGGAAAGACTTTAAGTGACCTGCATGGGTATATAAAATAAAAGATAATAGGTTAGATGTCTAGGCTAAAGAAGAAAGAAAACAAAAACAGAGACATAAAAAATATAGGAATAAGGTTAAGAATAATTCATGCCCTTATAACCTATTTACTTGTTCATTAGTGCCTCACAAATTTAGGTTTAAGTTTTCCCATCCAGCCAGAAAGGGAACCATGGCATTGTCTATAATGTTACAATGAAGCAGTGTTTTTCAGAAGTACAATTCTTTTTCAACATTAAGAATCAGTTAGGAATTTCTGATTCCAGGGGGTCTCATAAACAGGACAGTGTCTGAGCAGCATTTTATGAGGATTTTATAAGGCTATTTTTTTTATATTTCCCCTGAACACAGAAAAGCACAATTCAGTGTAGAGTGGCAGAAAAGATGCATTAGAAATGCCTACTGTTTGCTGATCTGGCTTGATTCAGGGGTAGGATTAGGTTATTTAGATTATTTGGAGATATGACTGGAGTCCATTTCTTTCAAGCATTGTTTTCTAAATATTGTTTCCCTCAACTGAGATTTGATGAATGTTTGGTGTCACTGAGCTAGCAACTGTTTTCTCTTATAAGTACCCACGGAGCAATTGTTCTGTGCTGCCAATTGAATAACAAGGACTTGTGCTTGAATTGAAGGCTGCCCTCCTCTGTTGGAAGGTTGAGCCTAGGGAGCTGAGCCAAGGGAATTGTTTGAATCTGCTCTGCCGATGAATGGGTGATTGAACCCTCAGAATTCCTCTCCATATAATATAGTCACAGGTGTTTAGCTTGAAAAATTTCACAGTTGTTCTAACCAATACCAAATTTGTCTAAAGAAAAATTTCAAATAAAAAATTCAATAAATTTCAATAAAATAACAGTAAAGCTCCCAGCTTTATCCTGTTGCCCTCTTTAAGATAAACTGCTCCCCAAATGTAAATCAAGGATAACTAAGATGATACTACTATTTATAGAGCAGTTATACAATAGTAACTTTGCTTTCAGGATAGTTGATTTATAGCTATTCTTTTTGACAATATTTAGCTTGCAAAGCCAACTGTCTATATAGGCTACTTCTAATTAGAGATTTTAAAATTGTTATTATTTATGTACAAAAGAATGCTTTTTTTCAGTTCCTTTTAGCAGAAGATTGCATGCATTTAGATATTCCCAAAATAATGTTGGTAAATTTTAAAAAATCCTACAAGGAGAAGGAACAGAGCACTCTTACCGGGGAGTAAAGCCCTGATAGAAAACCATCACTTTGAAGGTGGCTTTCTGCTGCAGGTTTTGAACAGCGTGCATAATTTCAGATCTATGTGGACTTGATAAAACTTCCTTGTAATGGATTCCTCTTCACAGAATTACAGTCTGAACAAAAGATAATAAAGACCATAAATCATTTAATGTTGTTTCCGATATTTTTCCACAGAATGATAAATATTATAACAGCATTCTGTGGTTGAAGCGTTGTGCCTGAAGTCTCCCTCCTTTTCTTACACACCATTAGCCTAAGAAACCCATACTTGCAGTTGGTCAAGCCAGAAATTGGCATGTATTTTACATGGAATATACAATCATCTGAATATGCCAAGTATGGAGAGAGTAAATGTTTGCTCTTTTAACAGATAAGATAGTGACCTTGTAGATCCAGCTTAGTGGGACCATATCCATTACCTTTACTCATAAAGATGAATGTTGTTTAGAATTGGAGCCTTCCACTAAATGGGTTCTAAGTGGCTCTGAAGGCAATAGATTCATCTCATTCTTTTTAGGACCTTCATTTTCTAATCATGCGTACAGACAGACTCCAAAACTGTTCTCTCCTAGGCTGAAATCAGAGAAAGGATCACATACATTTTAGTCTAAAATATTCCTTAGTACCATGCAAAGGAAAGCTAACTACAAGATATTTTAAAAACTTTTATTTACATATAATTTTAAAATTTGATATAATTTCAAGTTTTTCTCTTTCTTGCAGTCCTACCCCTTCCTGTAATATATCCCAGTTGGTCATGGAGTATTGTCTTATGTGGTGTTAGATTCTGTTCACTAATATTTTCTTTTGCATTTTTGCACCAATATTTATAAGTGATGTTGGTCTACACTTTTCTCTATTTTTTTTCCACTATCTTTATCAGGTTTAAGCATTGGTATTTTCCTTTCTTCATAAAAAGAATTTGTAAAGTTTTCTTCATTATTTATGCCTGGGACAATTCACATAGCATTTGGACTATCTGATTTTAGATGGTTTGGTAGAATCCATCAAATTCTATGAAATGATCTGGGTATGGGGCTTTTCTGTGGGGTTGTTCCTTGATGACATTCTCAATTTTTTCTATGGAAATTGGTTGGTTTAAGCTTTTTCTGTCTAATGGAGTCAATTTTGGTAAACCAGATTTTCCAAGGAATTGCCTATTTCATCTAAGTTTTAAAATTTATTTGTGCACTGATCTGCAAAGTAGTTTTGTTTAACTTTCTGAAGTTTCTTCTGTCTCGGTGATCATTTCTCCCTTTATCTTTATTTTCTGCCCCCTTTCTAAGTTAAATTAGCTAAGTGGTTTGTTTATTTTATTAGTTTTTCTAAGATTTTGGTTTATTAATTGGATATACTATTTTTTTCTCTCTCACAATATCAGGGATTAACAAACTATGACTTGCAGAACAAATCTGGCCTGTCACCTGTTTTCATAAACAGTTTTATTGGAACAAAGGCAGAGTTGAGTAGTTCTGACAGAACTGTCAGCCTGGAAAGCTTAAAATATTTACTTATCTGGCCCTTTATAGATAAAACTTATTGATTCTTGCTCTATATCATTAATTTCTGTTTTCTTTTTTTCTTTTTTTTAAAGATGGAATCTTGCTCTGTCACCCAGGCTGGAGTGTAGTGGCACAATCTCAGCTCGCTGCAACCTCTGCCTCCCTGGTTCAAGCGATTCTACTGCTTCAGCCTTCTGAATAGATGGGACTACAGGCGTGTGCCACCACGCCTGGCTAATTTTTGTATTTTTAGTAGAGACGGGGTTTCACCATGTTGGCCAGGCTGGTCCTGACCTCAGGTAATCCACCTTCCTTGGCCTCCCAAAGTGCTGGGATTACAGGTGTGAGCCACCGCGCCTGGCCAGTTTCTGCTTTCATAGTTATTATATCTTTTCTTATATTTTCTTTTGCTTTACAAAGGTAGTTGTACTATATCTTCATTGTGACTTGTGGCTTTTAGCATTAAAAATTGTCCTTTGTCATATTTAGTGCTTTTTGATTTGAATTCTACTTTGTCTTATATAGGGATTGCAGTGCCTACTTTCTTATGGTTTCAACTCCGTCCTATTATTTTATGTTACAACTACTATATGTATTGTGTTATATTTTCTGCATTTCTTTCTCTGTATGATAGATTTTCTTTGCTTTTATTTATTAATTTTTGAAGGAAGGTTTATATTTTTCTAGTGGTTACCTTTGTACCTTTAAAAAATGCCCTGACTCCCTTCTGTTTTCTCATTTAACTTTTCACCATCTGGTTTGTCAGGTTTGTTTGTTTGTTTGTTTGTTTGTTTGTTTTTAAGACAGGATCTAGCCCTGTTGCCCACACTGGAGTGCAGTGGATTGATCATCGCTCACTGTAGCCGCAACCTCCCAGGATCAAGTGATTCTTTTGCCTTAGCCTCCTGAGTAGCTGGGACTAGAGGCGTAAGCCACTGTGCTCAGCTAATTTTAAAACTTTTTGTAGAGACAAGGTCTCACTTTGTTGCCCAAGCTGATCTCAAACTTCTGACCTCAAGTGATCCTCCCACCTTTGGCCTCCCAAAGTGCTGGAATTATAGGCGTGAACCACCACACTCAGCTGGTTTGTCAGTTTTTTTTTCTTTTTGAGATGGGGTCTCACTCCCAGGCTGCAGTGCAGTGGCATGATCATAGCTCACTACAGCCTTGAACTCCTGGGTTCAAGTGATCCTCCAATCTCAGCTTCCCAAATAGCTGGGGCTACAGCCACCATGCTTGGCTAATTTTGTTATTTTCATTTTTTATTTTAGTAGAGACAGGTTCTCCCTATATTGTCCAGGCTAGAACTGAACCCCTGGCCTTAAGCAATCCTCCTACCTTGGCCTCCCAAAGTGCTGGGATTACAGGTCTGAGCCACTGCACCTGGCCTGGTTTGACAGTTTTTAATGGCATACTTTAATTCATGTATTGCCTTTATGACATTCAACTGTTGACACAACTGATTTATTCTATTTTCCTTTTTCTGTGTCCCTTTTCCTCTCAGTTTTTCAGTTGCATTATTTCTATTTTATGAAAACATATAGCATTTATATATCATTCTTCTGTCTCGCCCCATCTTTATTTTTGTCTTAGAGCTACAGTTGAATATAGCAAATGTTTATCACCAATCCTTTTACTGAAGTTTCCCCAGTTTATCTCTTGGAAGAAGCTCATTTTCCAGTAGATTCTTTAAGAGCACAGTGTTCCTTGAGTTCTTGGATATTTAGAATTGTTTCTCTATAGCCTTGACACTTGAAAGGCAGCTTGGCTAGATATAAAAATCTTAATTCACACTTTCTTGATTTGAGTTTCTTAAAAAGATTCAGTTCTTTTGTTGCCTTGCTTTCTATGTAGCTTTTGAGAAGCCTGATGAAGCCCGATTCTTTTGCCCTTGTATCTTATTTGTTTATTTCTTTGAGTGAAGACCCTGAGGATTTCTTTCTTTATCTTTAAAATCTCATAGTTTTACTTGAATACATTTTGGGGTTGATTGTCACCCCATTTTGCAGTCAGATTTCACAGGTACCCAGTGTATCCCTTTAGTATTTCTACTCAGGCCTCTTTATTCTTGTAAAGTTATCTTGAATTATAGCTTTAAACACTAATTCTGTTTCATGCTTGTTTATCTTCTTCAGATAATTTAATTATACGTATGTTGGATCTTTGCCTGTATTCCGCTTCATTCACTTTATTTTTGACCCTTTTAACTTCTTTTTGATCTCATTTTAATTATTTTCAGTTGTTTTCCTGTATTTCTTCAATTAAATCTACCCTTCTTTAGGCACCATGGAATTTAGTCTTTATTATTTCTAATGTGATTTTGTATTTTCATTTTTTTCCCTGAACTCAGTCACCTGTTTCATTTCCTTCCTAGTTTTTTGTCCATTTATGTTTTAAGTTTTAAATTTTCTAGGCCTGGCTCAGTGACTCACACCTGTAATCCCAGCACTTTGGGAGGCTGAGGGGAGCAGATCACTTGAGGTCAGGAGTTCAAGACCAGCCTGGCCAACATGGTGAAACCCCGTCTCTACTAAAGATACAAAAATTAGCCAGGCTTGGTGGCGCACACCTGTAATTCCAGCTACTCAGGAAGTTGAGGCAGAAGAGTCACTTGAACCCAGGAGGGTTCAGTGAGCAGAGGCTGCAGTGAGCAGAGATCGTGCCACTGCACTCCAGCCTGGGTGACAGAATGAGACTTCATCTCAAAAAGAAAAAAAAACGTTTAAAAATTTCTGACTTAAAGAGTTTTCTTCATACCCCCAAATGCTTGAGAATACTTATTTCAGTTTACTAATGTATGGGACTCCCCTACCACCCTACACCCCAGTTTGTGGGTTTAAAAAAATGTAGAGCTTTTTACAAGCTGCATTGTTTTAATTTTTTATATATGTATATCAAATATACATATATGTATAATATATGTATATTAAATATACATATATGTAACATATACATATATGTATAATATATATGTGTGTGTGTATATATATATATGAAATACAAACTGCTTTTGTCCGTTAATTCCAGGGACAGAATTGCTGGTTTAGGATGGTTAACAAGATTTCTAGGTTAAGAGTGCCCTCTTCTGTCACTGAGTGAAATGCAGTTTCTTTAAAGGTTTTGTTTTGTTTTTTGATAAGGCTGGGCATGAATCATGTATTCTCAGTTTAGGTTCTCCTTTGCTTTGTAGGATCTTGCATTTCCCTCTCTCTTCTGTTGCCCACCACTGCTTAGTCTCCAAAGGACACCCATTCTTTCCCTTTTATCCTTTTCTTTCCCAGAAGCAATGCCTTTTTCTTACCACTGCCTGACAACTCATGGACTTTTAATCCTTTCCTTGTAGTCAGCGCTCTGACTATATACCAGGTCTCTTTTCTTTTCTTTTTCATACAGTAGAGTTTCTCTTGCTGGGAGTGAACCTAGCTTACTCTGGGCCACCTTGCTTCCCTCTTTTCTATTTCACACATCCCTTCTAGCCCCCCTTGCTCTTCACAAGGACTTGCGGGAGATTGAGAGATAATTTTGCTGGAATTTCATATTTACTTTTCTATTTAACATTTGTGTGTGTGTGTGTGTGTGTGTGTGTGTGTGTGTTTTAGAGGCAAGGTCTCGCTTTGTCACCCAGCCTGGAGGACAGTGGCAGGACCACATCTCACTGCAGCTTTGACTTCCTGGGCTCAAGCAATCTTTCCACCTCAGCTTTTCAAGTAGCTGGTACTACAGGCTCCCGCCACCATGCTCAGCTAACTTTTTTGTTTTTTGTAGAGATGGGTTGTGGTGAGGGGGGCGGGTCTCGCTATGTTGCCAAAGCTGCTCTCAAACTCCTGGGCTCAAGCAATCCTTCTACCTCGGCCTCCCAAAGTTTTGGGATTACAGGCATGAGCTACTGCACCCAACCTTAACAGTAATTTAAAGTTTGTAATGTTTTCTGTTCTCCTTATGACAAAAGCTCATAGGTAGCTTGGCACAGGAAGTAGTTTGGCACAGCTCCTCTTGAGTCAGATGATCTAAATTCAAATCCCAGATCTGCCACTTACTGTCTCTGTAACTTTGGACAAGTTATTTCACCTC